CTGTAGGCGACGAATTAAAAGGTTAAAAGCAGTAATGCGAGCAAATGGTGAAAAACAGTGAATACTTACTGTGACAAAAAAGACAGCCCTGAAAGATCAGTAATGTCATTATGAATGAAACCTTCGCCATCGTCAAGTGTAATGTTATCAGTGGGTCTTCTTTCGCAAAACATTTCAACCAGTTAGACTCGGAAGGTTCACGTTATTGAAGAGAGGGCCACAGTAGAAAAACAAAATTTAAACCGGTGAATTTGGAAAAACTTCTTACGATCTTTGAACGAGTAGATTTGGTGTTTCACTCACTCACGTTTGAATGTAAATGAAGAGAAAAGGTGCACTTGCTTCTTTAAGTTTGACAGGTCTTACATACCATAGCAACGCCTACAAACACCCGAAACACACCTTACGCTATTCATTATTTTTTTAAATCGCTTAACTATGTTTTGCTAAAATGTTGGATGTTTGTTGAACAGAGTGGGCGAAAAAACGACTAAAATTACTCATATTGGCAAACACAGCCTTTCAATATATTTGTTTCGTCTGCAGTTGAAGGAAAACAAATAGATATGTTATTGACAAATTGAGTTGTCGTGTCAAGACAGACGTATTGAATCATAAAAAAGCAGGAATACATTGGATTTTGTCGATCAAGATTCTATTTTTTTTCCTTCGAGAAAGTGTGGCTACACTTGTAACCCTTAAAAAATATTGAATAGAAGAATGAAACTTCTAGAACGCCAAAAATTTTCACGACCTATAGTTGTAGGAATAGACACATTTTAAAAGGAGGCTGTTTTGAAAAACGGTTCCTTTTGAGAGAGGAACATCATTACTTTCACCTATTAATTATAATGTCGTCTAAGGGGAAAGAACTGATTACATCTAAAGAGAGTTAAATTGCATTTTATTCTTTTCGCTTCTATCTCGAATCTTTTCTTGCATCCTTAAGTCTATTTAACATCAACATATAATCTGCGATGCCTCAAGCTGAGTCGACAGTCAAAGACAGACAAAACACTAGTGCATTAAGGGTCTGGAGATCATAGTTACATTTCTTCGGTGAGTCGATAAAAGAACCGAAGTAAAATTTTAACTATAAAGAATTGCGATAAAATCGAAAAGTTTAAAAAATTAAAATCCATCTTGGTTTAAGAAAAATGCGACGACGTTTCGACGTTCGCTTAACGTCATTATCAAGTCAATAAGGAGTGAAAGGAGAACGAATATAAATGCAAAAGAATTCCTAAGAGACACGGATAACAAAATTGAAAATACGTATATTCGCACGCAGAGTCACGTAAAGAGTTTGGCGCGAATAGAGTCTTTCTGAGTACTTAACTCGGGGTTCAGTTCCTTAATTATGAATAACATCTCAAAAATTAGACAATCAAACTTTGATCTACATTTCGCTAGAACAGAAAATTGCTTATCAACCAAGTCAGTCTTCAATAGACCGTCTATTGAAGACTGTTCCGTGTCTNTTAAATTTCGCAACATACGAGTAAGGTAAATAAAACCAGTGATTTACAAACGATGGGCGTGTTTTGTGTTTTATTTTTGTACTTTTAACAGCCCACCGAAACCATCGCAATAAACTGTTTCTCTTTTTAATCTAAAAGAATTTTAAAATTTTCACGCAAAGTGGACTTCGATGAGTTTTTTTAGATCAATACAGGTGGTTGTATGGCTTTCGAATGACAGAAAAGCTTCGGTAACCACTGTATTTAGCGTACTTTTAGCTTCCGGTGGCAATTAATTCTTATGTTTATTATCTTGGGCACTGTTTTAAAGCTTTCACTCGTTTCCTATCTTGATATCTCGTAAAATAGAGACGGTGATGGTAACGGCAGGTGACGAGAATGAACTCTTATTCAAGTTGCTTTTCGTATAGTTCTCAAAACAGTGCCACAGTAAAAAGGCAAAAATAATTTGTCCACAGTAAATAGGGGAGTCGAGGGTTTCAATGACCGAAAGAAGAAGCAAGGAATTCAAACTCTGTCTAGGTCGTGCCTAATCTCTTCTCTCCACTGAAGCTCTCTTCATTCCGAGAGGGACTGCACAGACTACCAGCAGCTCATTTGCGCACTTTCAGTTTAAAACGCTTTAAAAGATTAAACCCGGAATGTAACGCGAAGGACAACGTTTTGCGTCTCGAGTAGCTTTGTTACTAATGCGGGCGAGAACTGACGTCACAAAGCTCGTATGAGGTTATTGTAGCGAGTTGGGACGAGGTGAAATACTCTAAACGACAACAGCAAAGATGGGTTTTAAAAAGGCGCTGAAAGCGCTTGAAATCATACATACATACATATGTTAATCGACCACTCCCCAAGGGGGCTTTTCAGGGCCAACTCCCACCCAGTAACCACTCTAGGGGAGGACATCCATCACACAGTAATCTCGTGCGTGGGAAATTAACGTCTCCTACCCCTATCCTTGCAGGAGACGGGACCTCCAGTTATTCGTCCCATCCGAGAAGACTAGAGTATCTAACCATTTCTTAATATAGAAAGGTAGCATATTCTTCTCACTTGTTTTAAGACCTTGAGTGTTGGCCCGGCCGGGGCTCGAACCCTCGACCTCCCGCACAACAGTCCAGCGCTCTATCCCTTGAGCTAACTTGGAGGCGGTTGAATCCTTGAATCCTTGAGAAGCCAGAAGCCAAAATTAACCGGAGGCTTCAGTGTAACCCATATTATCCGTTTAAAATGGTTGAAGGAAACAGTAAGTGAAATTAGCGTTTATCCCTCTGAAAGTGCGAGTGTAAGAATCGGTAAGCTGGCTTAAATAGGGCTGAAACTACCTCACCGGCAGAACTTTAGATTAAGCTTGGTGCGTTAACTCAAAGTGTGATGTAAAGATCCATTATACTCTCAGCTCTTTCTTATCCTTTTCCGTTTTTATTTTTTTTGTGTGTGTTTTGTTTTGTTTGGTTTTTTTGTTTTTTTCTGTACAACGTTAAGAGCCTATTTATGCAATCAAAATTACCGGTTAGCAACTTAGTTTTTCAAGGAGGACGAACGCAGTTTTGTAACTGACTCTCGCTTCCTTTTTTCATTACTTATTTACGGTAGTATGTAACGGGTGTTTTTTTCTTTTCGATCAACGATTGATTTTCCTGTTTATGGAAGAGACAATAGGAATAACTTTTCTTCAAGGGTGAAAAGCATTCTGGGATGAATAATGACTTTTTGATTGCGCCTTGTGATTGATGTAGAAATCACTGGTTTCATTTGACAAAAAATTGGTGCTTCTCTCAACTTGATCGACCTCATCTATTTGATCGTGTCAAATTAGCCAGCTGCTACTGATTCAAAGTTTTTATCAATTGGCAGAGCTCGTTCTTATTCTGAGTCAGTAGAAAACGATTTTACATTGGAACAGTAACGGCTTTCGTTTCCATGGTTACTGATTGCTTGTAGAATTGTACTGGAGGCCAATGTAAGTTTGTTTAGGTAATGAAGGAAAGCTAATCGAATATCTACGAAAGCAAAGAAGAAAGAGGTATAAGTTTACTGAAATCCTGCTTTAATTTACGAAACAAAGTTGATCACTCCAAACATCTCATCGATAATAATTATGCATAATTAAAAAGAGATGATCCAATCGATCAGCTAAAATGCAGAATAACTCCTTGTAAATATCAATTATATCTGTTTCTTACATTATGAGCCCAGTTAAACTTAGTTGAAAATATCCAACTTTTTCGTCTGTTCTCGATTTTTTTACGAGCCTGTTGGACATAATGGGTCCATTTTTTTAACATTAACTGATAAATTCTTCAATAATTTTTTTCTCACTTTTACCAAAGGTAGTTCAAATAGCTCAAACCTTGCCAACTTGAAGAAAAAAATGCAATTATGACTCCGATTAAAAAAAAGTTGAGGTTAAATTCAATTTGCTAGGTCTTTTCCGGACGAACCCTCGGCAAGACTTATATACAAATGTCCCATGAAAAGTGTTTTTCTTCATTTATACCAAGTGAAGTTCAAGGGGCAGCAAAAATACCAATCACTTAAGTTACATAAGTCAGATTATGTAACCACTGCAGGGTAACTGCTTAACTACTGTCTTGGGAGAAGCATTTTATGAAAAGAAAAATTCTAATTTCTCTCGAAATTCATTTTTAGAGACTAATTGTATGTTATATATAAATGTGAAACCGTTCATGATCAGCAATAGAATTAACTAAAAGCTCTGCTGAATGTTCCCTTTAGGCTTCATGCTTCATTCCTCTTCCAATTCGTCCTTCCTAAACCAACAAAAANATTGACGTAGAAATCACTGGTTTCATTTGACAAAAAATTGGTACTTCTCTCAACTTGATCGACCTCATCTATTTGATCGTGTCAAATTAGCCAGCTGCTACTGATTCAAAGTTTTTATCAATTGGCAGAGCTCGTTCTTATTCTGAGTCAGTAGAAAACGATTTTACATTGGAACAGTAACGGCTTTCGTTTCCATGGTTACACTGATTGCTTGGGGAATTGTACGGGAGGCCAATATAAGTTTGTTTCGGTAGTGAAGGAAAGCTAATCGAATATCTACGAAAGCAAAGAAGAGAGAGGTATAAGTTTACTGAAATCCTGCTTTAATTTACGGAAAAAAATTGATCACTTCAAACGTCTCATCGATAATAACTATGCATAATTAAAAAGAGATGATCCACTCGATCAGCTAAAATGGAAAATTACTCCTTGTAAATATCAATCATATCTGTTTCTTACATTATGACCCCAGTTAAACTTAGTTGAAAATATCCAACTTTTTCGTCTGTTCTCGATTTTTTTACGAGCCTGTTGGACATAATGGGTCCATTTTTTTAACATTAACTGATAAATTCTTCAATAATTTTTTTCTCACTTTTACCAAAGGTAGTTCAAATAGCTCAAACCTTGCCAACGTGAAGAAAAAAAATGCAATTATGACTCCGATTAAAAAAAATTAAGATTAAATTCAATTTGCTAGGTCTTTTCCAGACGAGCCTTCGGCTAGACTTATTTACAAATGTCCCATGAAAAGTTTTTTCTTCATTTATACCAAGTGAAGTTCAAGGGGCAGCATCTTGATAAAAATGCTTCTTAGTTTTCGTCAAAAAAATCGAAAAAATACAATCCCTTAAGTTACATAAGTCAGATTATGTAACCACCGAAGGTTAACTGCTTAACTACTGTCTTGGGAGAAGCATTTTATGAAAAGAAAAATTCTAATTCCTCTTAAAATTCATTCTTAGAGACTAATTGTACATTATATACAAATGTTAAACCGTTCATGATCAGCAAAAGAATTAACCAAAAGCTCTGCTGAATGTTCCCTTTAGGCTTCATTCTTCATTCCTCTTCCAATTCGTCCTTCCTAAACCAACAAAAAGAAACAGGCATAAAATAAACAAAACAAAAAAAACTGTAGATCTATAATGAATAAGAAGTAAATCAAAAGTATCTTTTCAAACATTCTTTAGCCAAAATCATTGCCAAACCGTCACCTTCGGACGAAAGTTTTAAATGGTCATTCTGATAGTGTTAAAACGTTCACGTCCCACTTCTCAACTCAATTTCCTTAAACGTTATTTGGCACTCTCGAGCCAATCTATTTCGCTTCTGTCATCTACACAAGAGTAAAAAGATTTTTTTAACATTTCAATAATCAAAGCGTACACGCCTACACACAAGTTCTGGTCATCTTAGCTTGAACCGCCTTCTGTAGGTGGTGAAATGCTGGTGGTATTACTTGGGAATATAACTAACCTTTCTTCCTTAAAGTTAAATGTCACGTTGTCTCCAATCAGCATGAACGGAGCCCACTGGGAAACTTTGGTATAGCCGATGTTCCTCAGCCACTTCATGGCCTGGTGAAGACATTCACTGGCACTAAATCCGTCCACTAGGTGTCTGTAGAAACGTCTCATGAACTGCTCCGTTGCTTCGTCCTCTATGGCCCACAGTGTCACCAGCACTGAACGTGCACCGGATGCCAAAAAAGCGCGAGCGATTCCAATGATTCCCTCGACTTTGATCTCTCCACGCCCACTGTGACAGCAGCTGAGCACTACAAGCTTGGCTCTTAGTTTAACTTGTGAAATATCAGAGATCCT